GCTAATAAGGGTTTGGGGTTTGAATCCCTTGTTGTTTAACTTCTCAATTTTTACTCCAGTCTGTTTGGAACTTTTTTAATATATATAACTTTTTTTTTATATTAACAATGAGGTATGTAATTTATAAAGTATTTTCTATTTGAATTATTTTATGGAATTAGTTATGTTTCATATGGAGCATAACATCATTCTTTTTTAATAGATAGAGGGCATATAAAAATAATAATAATAAATACATAATTACTTAGCTTCCTCATCAATGACTTCAACATGAAAGGAGAGAATCGATCATATATAATTCACCATTACAGAATATGAAACAGTACGTTCAAAAGCTAGCTTAGCTTAGCTTCAACCATTATTGCTTCTGATGACGGAGCCGCACTGGAAGGTCTGGAAGCAAGATTCCCCAACCATCACCGTATACTGGTGCAGAGGCCTAGCCAGGAAGGGAGGCAAATTAGCGAACATATCACAGACACACCGATTATCCACCTCCTTCATCCACTGGCAGCAGATCTCCTCCTCGGGGGAGTGGTGGTGGCCGCGGTGCCTCCTCAGACCGCCGCGGCGGTGGCGCCCCAGCGGCATCGCCTGGTCGACCGCGGGCGGGGACAGCAGCGGGGGGCGCGGCGGCATCGGCGGAGGGGTGGAGCTCAGCATCAGAAAGGAACAGGCGTGGTTCACCAGCGAGATCTGCGAGGCGCAGCGAGAGCCGACGGGGCGGACGACGGCCTTCCAGTGGGTCTGGCCGACGGCGGCGGAGCAGAGTATGAAGACGAAGGCGAGAAGGAAAGGAGGCCTCACGGCGATGATCATGGCTAGCTAGCTAGATAGATAGCTTAGCTTGTTGTTATGGGTGGAATTGAAGATGAGATGAGAGCATGGAAAAAGGGGGTCGGAGAGTTATATACAAATGTGTAATGGAGATTAGGTCGGCGGTAGATATATGGATCGGAAGTGAAGAGATAAGACATCCATTTTGTGTGAAGATTATATTGTTTGGTTTATATATGCAATAGAACAGTAGAGTTTTCCATTGAAGACCGGTGAGGTTGAGCTGCATTGCATGTATGTGAATGTGATATGAAATTCAACCATTATATTGCTCTCTCTATAGTCTATACTATACAATAGTAATTAGTTAGTAACTGTTTCCCTTGTCCTACTTCAATTGCCCAAAGATTGTCCGCAAGGAGATTAGGACTAAGAGCATTCTTTAAAAAAATAAAAATGTCATACTATATCATAGACCTCATGAATTCAAAGAGGATAAATCCAGATTATATCATTCTGGCTAGGGGTGTAAACGAGCCGAGCCGAGCTCGAACCTGGGTAGGCTCGAGCTCGTGTCAAAAGAGGATAAACCCCACAAGATTTGGGTGTGTCACTCACGCCCCACACGTTATGGAATATCGTATTCAAAACAAACTATCTCTCTGAAGACTGTCTTCCTCCCCCTCTTTCTTTCCTCCAACCCTATTCTCACCATTTCTCCTTTTATTTCTCCCCATTTCTTTTTAACAATTGGAGATTTCTTATTAAGTGATTATGGAAAGTAGAACTTATTGATTTCTAACACAAGTGAATTTTTTTTTTCTCTTTCAATTGTTTTTTTAGCAAGGAGACCTGAGTATGTCATCTCTCAGAATATGCTCTACAAATAAATCACAAAATAATTTATCACACATATTAGTCCTGAAGTCACATGCACACAACATGCACCAACCATGTTTTTTTTTTTTTTTTTTTTTTCTCCCATGCAACCCCACAAAACACCCACACTCCAATTTTTTGTTTCTTTTCTCTCCTCTCATTTCTCACTTCCAACTCAACCAAATTTAAGAAAAAACCCACCAAAATATCATTTGTTAGTAATGCTCTAATAAGTGATGCCCAACCTAAATCATAGGTTGTTTCCCATACAATAATGAATTGTTTATAGTTGTAGAAAGTAGAATTAATTATTTCCTAACACAATTGAATATTGTTTCATAGCTACACCTCTCCATCAACATCAAATGAAATGTGCATTTTGTTAAAAGCAACCTCAATAGTGAGGTTTTTATGTCAGATTTTTCTTTGGGCGCTAAATGGGGGAGGAGAAAGGAGGAAGAAAAACAAAGAAAGAAAAGAAAAACAGAAAAAAAAAAAAAAAATTCTAAGACCACTAACGCAATTGTTGGGCGTTGCTGGTGCACGTAACACGCACCAGCGTGCATAACCATGTTTTTTTTTTTTTTTTAATGACTAATTGCATGTAGTTGTTTGACCACCTGCTTTCGTTTGTTAATCATTCGTTTGAGTGTAAACAAGGCGAGATGGCACCGACGGCCTAGGCGATGAGTATTAAATAAATAAAAAAGTATATATATATTGAAAATATCTTGTCTTGGGCAGCCTATTAGCTTGCCTATTTACTTCAGATGAATAGTTTTTCCTAGAATAGTGAAAAGTCTAGTATTTATTGTATATTGAAAATATCTTGTTTTGGGCAGCCTTTTTGCAACCCTATTTACTTCAAGTTGTCTTGAAAAGATGAATAGTTTTTCATAGGATAGTGAGAAGTCTAGTATTTATTGATAACACGCCAAAGTGAGGTAGTGGGCTTCCTCCCCCTCTTTCTTTCCTCCAACCCTATTCTCACCATTTCTCCTTTTATTTTTCCCCATTTATTTTTAAGAATTGGAGATGTCCTAATAAGTGGTTGTGGAAAGTATTACTTATTGATTTCTAACACAACTGAATATTATTTCATAGCTACACCTCTTCATCAACATCCAATCAAAAGTGCATTTTGTTAAGAACAACCTTTAATTTATGTCAGGTTTTTAAAAGTGCTAAGTGGAAAATTGAGAAAAAAGAAGGAAAAGAACAATTCAAACCACTAATGCACCATTTGGGAACTGTTGTTGCACGCAACACACACAACGTGCACCAACCATGTTTTCCCTTCTTTTTTGTCCCTTGCTAAGTGGAGAAGAGAGGGAGTAGAAAAAGGGAAAACAAAGAAAAATAAAAAGGAAAAAAACCACTAACTCGCTTGTTGGGTGATGCTAATGCACGTAACGCGCACCAGTCATGTTTCTAACATGTACAAGTGTATATTTGTCTAGAAATAATGTTGTTTGGTTATTCATGAACAAAGATAATTGACCAAACAAAAGAATATGAGCAGAATTTTGAAAAGCCTTAACAATAAACACTTCACACTCACACTTTAAAAATCTTGACAAATAAACACAAACAAGCTCTGTTGATTTACATCTCTAACCTCTACAACATAGTAATGTCAGCTATAATACTCGACAATTTTCAACAAGAATATTAGCACCAGTTTCTTCAACCTTCAACCTTCAACCTTCAACACAAAGCACATCACCACCCACAGATTGCCCACATCCAATTTTTTTGCTCTTTCAATTGAATACATGAATCAACAGTTCATTCCACTGACAAGTTCAAATATGCAAACATTTCCTTCCACTGGGTTGTTTTCCTTGGCAAATTGATGCCAACCAAAAATGAAGGATGGCCTCCAATGTTGGGTGCAACTCCCACTACCCAAACCTCATCCTTCAAATTACGGAGGACAATCATTATTTTTTTAGCAAGAAAGAGACCTATGTCATCTCTCGGGTATGCTCTACAAATAAATCACAAGATAATTTATCACACATACATTAGTCCTGAAGTCATATGCACACAACATGCACCAACCATGTTTTTTTTTTCTCCCGTGCAACCCCACAAAAGACCCACACTCCAATTTTTTTTTAAGAAAAAACCCACCAAAATATAATTTGTTAGTAATGCTCTAATAAGTGATGCCCAACCTAAATCATAGGTTGTTTCCCATACAATAATGAATTGTTTATAGTTATAGAAAGTAGAATTAATTATTTCCTAACACAATTGACACCTCTTCATCAACATCAAATCAAATGTGCATTTTGTTAAAAGCAACCTCAATAGTGAGGTTTTTATGTCAGATTTTTCTTTGGGCGCTAAATGGGAGAGGAGAAAAGAGGAAGAAAAACAAAACAAAAAAAAAAAAAGAAAAAAAAAAAAAGAAAAGAAAAACAGGAAAAATTAAAAAATCTAAGACAACTAACGCAATTGCTGGGAGTTGCTGGTGCACGCAACACGCACCAACGTGCATAACCATGTTTCCTTTTTTTTTTTTTTTCCTCCCTTGTGGACTCCACAAAAATTTTACACTCTAACAAATGATTAACAAACGATTACATATAATCAGTCATAAAAAGGGACTCCTGGACCAACAAATGGACAATCTAATTCGCAGACTAAGAAAAAGAGATAAAACATATTGAAATAAAGAGTAAGTCAAGGTTATCAAGGCGGACTTTCTAGGTGAGATACCACCGACTGCCTAGTCGCCTAGTCGACCGCCTAGGCGATGAGTATTAAATAAATAAAATATATATATATATATCGAAAATATCTTGTCTTAGGCTGCCTTTTTGCTGGCCTATTTACTTGGAGTAGATGAATAGTTTTTCCTAGGATAGTGAGAAGTCAAGTATTTATTGTATATTGAAAATATCTTGTCTTGGGAAACTTTTTTATAACCCTATTTACTTCAAGTTGTCTTGAGAAGATGAATAGTTTTTCCTAGGGTGGTGAGAAGTCTAAGTATTTATTGATAACATGCCAAAATGAGGTAGCGGGCTTTGCTCGGAACAAGAGGACGATGCCGGAGCTTTAACCGCGCCGCCATCAAAGCCACCACGTGCAGCCGCTGCTCCGACGCCACGCGCCGGCACGTGAGGCAAATTCCGGCAACTTCTCCAGCTAAAAATTACACCGGTCAACTCGCCTTAGTGTGTAGGTTCATCCCATGTATGTTTTGTGGAGTTTTGGGTTGTATATTACACTTAAGCGACGCGAGCACATTAAGCGTTCGCCGTTCGGTCTCGACTGACCGGACGCCTAGGCGTCGACTAGGCGACGCCTTGATAACACTGGAGTAAGTAAAATAAGATCAAAAGTTCTTTCAATTTCAATTGAACACATGGACCAACAGTTCATTCCTTGTGACAAGCTCAAAAATGCAAACATTTCCTTCCATGAGGTTGTTTTCATGGGCAAATTTATGCCAACCAGAAATGAAGGAATGGCCTCCCGTGTTGGGCACAACTCCCACTACCCAAACCTCATCCTTCAAATTACGAAGGACAATCATTGTTTTTTCAGTAGGAAGGAGGCCTGGGTATGTCATCTCTCGAGGTATGCTCTACAAATAAATCACAAAATAATTTATCACATATCTTAGTCGTGAAGTCATATGATATGTTTGTGTGCGCGCATAAACAATATGAATGAAAACAATAAAACAAAAAAAGAGGATGATTACTAGAACCAGGAAACAAACATACATATCACTAATTTGGTAAAATATACTCCTGTCCCAATATTTTTTCTTCCATTATTGTTTAGTTCAATTATACTAAATTTCAACTTAAAGTTTGGCACTTCTAAAATTTTACTACTTTGAAAATAAAAACTAGATATTAAACTTGTGTTGATACAAGAGAGGTGAATAGTGAGATAACAATGGAAGAACAAAGGCTAACAAATACCAAATTTGAAGTCAATTCATTAGATACACTAATTTCTTACCAAATGATATTTTTGCAAATGCTGTTTAGTAAGAATGCACTTAAAGAAGGGATTGATGGAGCTGAATGCCAGAGATTTAGACCATGCACTCATTGCGACTTCAGTTGTATCATTTCTGTCTGCACAAGAAAGAATATGGAGTAAAATTAATATTAATATTATTAATAATAACCAACAATGTTTCAATGTTTTATTACACAATCACAAATTATACGAGTCTGTGTATATTCAAATTTAGAAATACGCGTGCCTAGAGACATTGTTGCAACACCACTTTCTGCTGGTCCATCCCTCTTCCTCTTGCATGAAGTTTCAGGCTTAAGCCAATGCTCAGATTTTCACCTGATTTTCAAAACACATACTTAAAGTGTGAGTAATAGTCTAAGCATATTCAACTTAGAGATATGTGTACCTAAATTCATTGTTGCAATACCAATTTTAGCTGGTCCATCCCTGTTCCTCACAGACCTTGTGTGAACTGAAGTTCCAGGCGGAAGACCATCACCCAGATTTTCACCTGATTTTCAAAACACATGCTTAAAGTGCGAGTAAGAGTCTGTATATTCAAATTTAGAGATATGTATACATAAATTTATTGTTGCAACACCACTTTTTGCTTGCACATCCAGTGAAAAACACATGCTTGAAGTGCATAGGTGATAAACCTTAATGCAATTTAAATAAATTATGTGTGCAGTGTGCGTGCGTATCATGCTCCCTTCTCATCAAAAACTTATACATTTCGATTAATCTTCATGCTCAACATTAAAAATTAAAAGGGCATAAAAATGTAATGAAATTGATTTAAAAAATGACAATCAAAGTTAAACAGGGGAGTAGAAACTTAATGAAACGACCAAAATACATTTACCTTGTAGACCAGAAAGAGTGTTATTTTCAGAATATTTGCAGCCCTTCTCTTTCCCGCCAAAAGCTACACTAGTATCTTCTTTCTTTATTTCTTGATTGGTTGCTGAAAGCCCTACAGCATCAGACACATCAAGCCTCTCTCTTCCATGTTTATCAAAAATTCTCACATCAAATTTCTCGGTTTCGCCACCTCCACAGTGTCCAAAAGCTAGAAAGTCATCTTTACAAAGAGCATTTTCTTCAAAAAATCTATCCCATCCTTCATTTATAAACAAGCGATATGCCTCTAGAGATAATTTCACTGTCCAATGTCGACTGGAAAGGCCTCTTAGAACTGCACTGCCTGATAAGCCTTTTGGCATGAACTCCAGGAGTTCCACTGGGATTTGCTTCAAATTCAAAATTGTAACACGAGAGTTATCCCAATCGATATATATTAAGCACCCAGGCTTCCAAAGCCTGATGCACCATTTCATTCACATCAGTAAGTATAAGGGAAAATTGTAATTTATGCCCCTCAAATATATGCCAATTATAAATGTCACTCTTCAATTCTAAATGGTATATATGTTGGTAATGTTGCCCCTAAATTGTCAAAATGTCGCTATATATTACCCCCGTATATTGTAATTTATGCCCCTCAGGAGGGGCATATATGACCACATTTTTGACAATTCAGGAGCAACATTTATACCACTTAGGATTGAGGGGTGACATTTATAATTGGCTTATACTTGAGGGGCATAAATTACAATTTTCCCTAAGTATAATAAATGAATAATGTAGTTCAATTCACTTGAAATTAGATACAAATGAACATGGGTGAGGATGTAGATCACTCCTTTACAATGTCACCTGTGTCTTGAGGCTAGTCCCTAACTAAATGATTTAGGTAAATATTGTGAAATGCAGAGGGCCAAATGATCCCATATTATATCCTATAAAAAAAATTAACTCTATAGTCACATGTTTGATTCATTTTAGTGTTCAGAATAAAGTAACAAGCACACAATTTCCTGACGATGAGATTTTACTGAGGTTAAGGAGCGTGTATGATTTATCCCAGTCTTGGGATAAAAGTAGTGAAGAATTGGTTAATCTGTTAACTATGCCTTTTTGAACCAACTGCCCATGTGGTATTTGTTACCTAACTAAATTTCTTGCACTAATGAAAGCATAAACTTACCAGAAACCAACCTACAAGACTCTCAAGTCGTTTGGTGTTTGTCCAATCTCATTTAAGGCAACAAACTAAGCCAATATGAAGCTTTAGTCTTGATATGCTGTAATTATCAATTGCATGCACTCCAAAAAATTAGACATCTAACCAGCTTAAGTATTAGATCAGAGTATTCTCTTCAAAGCCTCTCAAAGTATCATGTTTGTACATTATTTACCAAATGTAATGAGAATTTCCCATATAAATTCTTTGGAAGAAGAATTGCACTGAAACATATTTCTGCGCTGACTAAAATAGAAGTGAAAGTACAAAAAGAATCTATGACAATAGATTGGATAAAGTTTAATAGTAAATAAGCTACAAGACAACTACACTCCAATGCAGAAGAGTTCAAGAAAAGAGAAAGAGATCAAATCAAGTTTCTATGTAGAAGATGATTGAGATATCAATATTAAAATACCAAGATTGTCTAATAGGGAGTATAACATATACATTCTTAATTACAAATGACACACAACATTCATTATTACAACATTCATTATTAAAGGGAAATGATGGATAAGTGAATAAAATTTCCAATATAGAGATGTGCAAAGTGCAAAAATAAATTACCACTTTTTCCCGGTTTTCATCATGCCTTATAGTCACACAGAAGTGAGGTACGCCTCACAATTTGTGTTCTACCATCTCTTTAGACTCTTTGTTCAATGGCCTGTCTACTCAATATATACTTCTTAAAGAGAAACCTACAAATTGAAGATTTATAAATTTTTTATAGTATCAAATTGCAAACGATATGTTATTGCTCTATAAGTACACTTCTTTCCTTAAATAAAAAAAAAAACACAAACAACCTATAATGGATACTAAATAATAAGGGCAGAAGAATAAATTAAAGGTCAACCGTCAACTTTTGATATAAGTGAACCATTTTTTCAAACAACTACAGCTGTATTTCTTATAAATTCCTATTACCATTTTTATAAACACATTATGAATGAATAATGTTGGATTCTACATTTCTAAGTAGGGGTTTTAAGCAATGTTTAAATAAAGAAAAACAATAGATGCTTAATGGAATGTTTTAAATTGAGAACTTGTGACAAGCGTCATGTCAGCTTTCGTGTTTTGGCTACCAAGTTAATATATTACAATAAAATCAATGTAGTAAGAATTGCTAAAGCTTCATCGTGCAGTTGATGGGCACCTAGGCACATGCATTAAAAAAAATAAAAATGGATTTTACTTTTTCTTTAAAAAAAAAAAAAAAAAGAATTCTTGTAGCAAGTATTCCTCATATCATTTTTCTAACAATATTACAAATTAAAATTAGTGTATTACAAAGGAAAAGAAGAAATTATAAAACTGAAAACCTGGCTGGGCAAGACCAACAACAATAGTTATGGTGTCTGGGTGAAGTGATGGCAACAAATGGCGAACAACGATGGCACCTGAATATCGACTAGGGCAACTGCACGGAAGGGGTGAACAAATGACTGATCTAATGAACGGCGCCGCGGCGATGGTCCTATGGCGATGTCACAGCAATCGGCTGGATAGGGAAACTACACGAAAGGACGAGAAGGGGAGAACAGCGAAAGAGCAGGGTTGTGACTGCTGCAAACTTGTGCAAAAGGTTTGCAATTTGGGAATACGATTTAGGTTTGTTTCTCTCAAAACTACATTGTTTTGAGCAAAACAAACCTGTCAAGATTCTAGGAAATGGGTCCAACCTAATGCCCCATTAGAGCTTGGTTAGCACAAAGCCCAAGTAAATTCACTAGCCCAAGACTCGAAGAGGATAGCCCAAACCTTGGAACCCAACTCAAGAGTTAAATCAACCTCAACTATTTGGGGTCCAAGATATAAAATGAAAGACAAGGAAAAGGAGGGGATGCCAAGTCTAAGTAGAGGCAACACACTAGAGTCTAAAGTGCACACGCTACATTTTCTCTCTCTAGTTGTAATGGGACTTGTAGCAAGACCTTTCTCCTATTTTCTCCTTCATTTACTTCATGAAGTCAAACCACCATAAATGGCATCAAAGAGCTCAACCATGGGGAAAAAAATAGTATTTCCCTTTTGGGTTTTCACATAAAAATCTCATGTTCTTGTTTATTATTTCAACTTTTTTGCTCTTTATTATTTGTGATAAACAAGTTTAGCCTAAGCACTTGTGCTTAATCAAGGCACCCTTGGGTCATAAACTCATTAAAAAAAAAAAAAAAAAAAAAAAAACAGTTGTGTCAATCAACTTGTCCGCCTAGTTTGCCGACAATGGTTACCATAGAAACATGAACTTGAACTAACCTTTTACATATGTAGTTCACATCGAATGGTTCAAGTTTGGATGATCAAGTAAACGGAATTGGATCACAAGGCAACCTAGCTTAGAGAGGTTTATGCACAATTCTTTTTCAAATATTATGTTTGATGTTAGACTCTCATATCTTCCATCCTCCAAATTTTCTTTTTCTAAGAATATCATTCTATATTAAGAAACTACAAACTACACAATAAATAAACAACAAATAGAGAAATATGAATTGATCTTGTTATATATATCTACAATTTTTTTTCTTTTATATATGATTTCATTCTCTTTTTTCAGTACAATAAAGAAAATAAAAAATGAAGGAGATAACCAACTCAAAAACAAAAAAACAAAAAAAAAACAAAAAAAAAAAAAGAGAGAAGAAGAAGAAGAAGCAAATTTGAGGCATATGAGCAAGAATAATTAATCAATAGCGTATGATCTGTATATCATATACTTGCCTTCTAATTCAATCTAGATATCAAAAATCAAAAATAGAAATCAAACATAGCACCGCAACTTACCTTTTTGCATTTGGCAAAAAAGCTTTCTCTAGATTAAGAAAAGATAGTAAACAAATTCATTCAAGAAATAACTACACAACAAACTCCGATCAACATGATTTCATCATCTATAATCAATAGAAAGAAAATCAATCTAGCAAAAATAGTAGAAATCACGCACCTTTATGGCTTTTGGATAAGCTCTAACTGAGCACCTACAAAGATAGGGTTAAACCTTGGCAGTGTATTTATAAACCAAATAGAATAGTCTAGGCTTTCTAGCAATTGGGTTGGGCCGGTAAGGCTTCATATGCAATCTTGGCCAAATTTCACTATTTCAATGCGGAGTAAAACCAATCACTAAGGAATTTGTGATAATTGATAAATAATCAGTACAATGGGAGATAACTATTTTAGTGCAATAGTCCAAAAGAGATTACAGTACTTCAGCCAAAAATGGAAATGTAGAGAGACAGCACCATCACATCCTCAATGCAAACCCATGTTTTGCTTAGTTGCTTTAAGTGCGGTATACGTGCTAAATTGGGTACCTTCCTTTGTAATAGGTTAGTTAATAAAGCTAGTAGGATCATTGTTTTCCTTCTATATCTCTAAATAGAGAAACATGATCTGATACAAAAGTTGTTGACCACACAGACTAGTAGAACATAACAACATACATAACCCTGGCAGGCAACCACAATTTCATGTGTCGTAGATAATTAAGATGCTCACATTCGATTGATTTATAATGATTCAGATTCCGTTAAGAGTATTGTAGTTAATATATTTCTGGCATTCAATTCATGCATAGAAGCAAATATTGAGAGTGGAGATTACAGCAATTATGATTAAACAACTCTACCAATTTCTTTGTCGGAGAGACCTTCGAGGGAAGGGGAAACATCCTCCGCGTTGTTGCTCATCTTTGCCAGCGAAGATGGAGTAGGGCCTACCGGGACAGTAGAAGTTCCGGCCGGTGGTGACGTCTAACCGCCACGTAAATCGGCTTCGACGGATCGGTGCCGTCGCAGCCCTTCAGCTGTTGCGCCGTGAACTCCACTATGATACTCAACAAAATCCTCTGCTTGGCTTCGCTGTTGTGCAGGCGAAGGAATAATAACACTATAAAACCGTATGGCATTCACCATACGTATACTTTATATACTCCCTGTAGGCTGTAGTAGCTGGTGGACATCCAAGCCTATGAATAAGATACATACTCTTTACAAAGTGAGGGGGCTCCTTGTGCACCGTGAGCACCGATCTAGCCTCTATAATACATGTTCAGTTGAGTCACCATAATTTACATCCTCCCAAATGCTCCGTCGGCCCGAAGTGTGGAGCTCTTTAGAGTTAAGGTTCAACCTTTGAAAAAAATACATACTCAAAGAAAGAACGGAATCATTGTATTTATAATTTATTAATATTCATTTAAATAAATAATAATAATGCCAATATTTTGTTCATGGATGTATGTTTTCCAAACAAGTCTACTTGTATCTTATGCTAGTTTTATTATACTTATTCATATAATAAATTTTTAATTAGTAATATTAAATTAATTTTTTTTTAATTATTGTCATTTTTAGTTCGTTAATTATAATTCACCTTACATATTTTATTCTCAACTATTAATTTTTTATACATAAATATTCTTTTGTTGTCATATTTAGTCCTTCCAATCAAATTCTTGTTTTCTCTACATCCAAATATTTCTCCCCATAGGTGCTAAAGTATTTGGTTAATGGAGCTTGGAAAATGGTTTGAATTTCTAGTCGGTAGTTCTGTTCGTTTCGTTTGAATGAATGCCTTTGCTGAAGTTTACAAAAGAAAAAATACTATATGTACTCTCATTCCATACTCCTACTTTTTACTCTCACACTTAAAATATTGATGTAGACAATTTTACAGGAGCCACATAAAAAAAATAACCTATCAGAGCCCGAAGTAAAAATTGAGAGTAAGTCTTACAAAAGGGGCCCTTTTTTAAATGGTATGTCAACACACTAAGAAGGAAATACTTTATGACATAATAAATGGAATAGTGACCCATCAAACAAGATTTTATGGTGATAGTAACATACATTTTTCCACCGTTTAGAAATGTGTCCAAATACATCTACCTGGTTTTAGAGTGCTGCGATATGCACTGCACTCCCATCTCACTGCCTCACCACCTTTACATGTTTTTCCTAAACAAAAGAATGAGACCACTTATTGCCAAGTTAGATGTATTTATTTGTGTGTGAATGACCTTTTCCATAGAAATCCAACTTCTTATTGAATTTACAAATGCTACACTGAAAATGAAAAGGCAAAAGAGGGAAAAAAAGAAAGAGAATGGCTGTTGGCGCGGGAACTACTTGGCAAAAAGCTCATCTATACAGACTTCTGTTGACTGTAGCGTAATATCCCATGGACATCGACGATTCCAGGAGGGAAAACCGGATCAGTAGCCGCTCTGACAGCTACTTTTGCCACTGAAGTAACACTAACGGGAGGGGTGAGCAAGGGCCCAACAACAGGAAGCTGGCCCAATGGTTTCGCATGTTGGAGAATCTGCAATGAGATATAGAAGATAATGGCGAATGTGTAGTGGTCAAGTCTGCATATGCCTTGTATTTAGAAAATGGGGTGGGGAGCAGAAAAAGAAACAAAGATATGCAGCAATTACCAATGGGATAGATAATGCAACAAAGGTAAAAGTAAGAGAAAAGCCATTTTACCATCTCAAGAGGAGAACCAACAAGACCTAGAGGCAATTTCATGCTCCCAACACGACGGGTTCCATGGATGAATCCAGGTCTCAGAATCACACCTGAATAAAACCAAAAGAACACGAATGATACAAGTGTAGAAAATAGTGTGTGACTAGGTACACTTCACAATGCTCTCAAAGCTGTTAGAGAGGGAGACTTATCACATACATCAATTTATATATTAATCAATAATGCACCCCCATGGGTTTGGGCCAATTCTTTACAGCCTAAACACGCAGAAATATTTTGATGACGGATAGCATGTAGGATTTGAACGCGACACTATTTGCTAGCACTAATATCTAGCTATTAGAGAGGGGTAAGACTTATGATTTTATATGTATTATTATCCTCAACTACATGGGATATAATTGCTGCTAATAATTAGCACAAAAACTGCTTCCAGATTACAACTATCTACAAAAGAAAGATATTCACCTCCATAGGTATATCGGGTCAATAGTTCTGTTTCAGCAGCTCTCTGCATAATGTGATAAAGGAAATGTATTAGGAGAAAAGAAGGAGCTGTCTTTCAAAAGAATAATAAAATAGAAATGAGAAAATGTACATATTAGGATTTAGGAGAAAAGGTGCTATCCTTTGGGGAAAAAAAATTAACAAAAACAAAAACAAAAAATAGAAACAAGGGCATCGTGTTGTTATTCTTCATATCCCTGTGGAAAAATTAAAGAAGCTCCAAAATTACTTAAGACATTACATCTTGAATTAAAAGTGAATACGAAATACAGAAAAATACCCTGTCACATGCACAACAATTTTATATTGATACCATGTCAATTTACAAATCTCAGTAGCTAGTGGTTCTTTCTTTGAGTGACTTCAGGACAGCTACTTTTAACAAAAATAATGGATTGCTTATGCTACAGAAAAATCAGATTGGAAGCAACCTTTTTTGACCACATGAAGGCAATGTGATTCAACTGACCCTTTATTAAATCATCAAGTTACAATTTCTTATATGTTGCAATCCAAAATTTAGTTTCCTCTATTTGCAAACAAAATGTTATTCATACCTTTCCATCATAATAACCTTGTAGTAGGTAATTGACAAAGCCAAAATCAGCAGCCGAAATGTAAACAAATCTTTTTACTCCTGCACCCAAAGATGCGATACAATGGAACAGTAAAAATAAATAAGTAGCAACACAAGCAAGAAGGATGAACACACAATTCCTAATTAACACCACCAAAAATGCTGGTGGCTGTAGCTGCAAAGTTTGTGATGCCATTAAGTCAACACGCATATCATAGAAATGATGCAAGTTTGCAGCTCCTCCATTTCTAATCACTCATTGAACAAAGCCCTTTTGTTTTGATATTTCTCCTTCAATGTCCCAGAAAAAAAACAAAAAAACAAAAAAAAAACACACACACACACACACACACTTTCTAGATTATATATTTTTATGAGCTCAAGAATAAGATAGGTTTCTTGATGATCTTTTTTTTCAGCAACCACCATTACCAGAAAAAGAGGAAAATTTTCATCAGTGTCTACCATTACTCCATTAGAAAGGATTCTTTCATATATCTGTGCACATAAAACATGTGTACAATGCCCTAGTTATATATAAATACAGTTGGGCCTGACCCATCACTAAAACCATATTAGCCAGAGCATAGGTATTGATCATGCCCAATTTGTTACAAATATAATCATCCCAAATCAGTGATGAACAGTCATTCCTAAGAAGAGAACAACTCAGAAGTTGGTGCGTAATATAGACCCCAGTCTCTGAACTAATCAGTTTATAAGTTTCATTAACTTCATAATGGGTATTTAAGTATTCAACCATAATTGAAAACAGCAGTATTGAGTAATATGCAACTGTTAACATCTTATATTGTTCTTAAAAAAAAACACGTATGCATAACAACAATGATCAAGGCCTGTTCCCAGGAATCATGAGAAAATTTTTCATTCTAGTATACACTTAAAGAGTACCTATTCCTTGTTTTTTAAAAAAATCTTTGATAGGTATCTGACAGTAATTCTTCCTTGTCAGATGATGATAAGCTGATATGCAACCAAACACTGAATTTTTTGCCTGCCTAAGTTCTGCCACATAGACATTTTAAACCACTAAGTGATTGGATGTGAATAGAGCACTGAAGGAGTAAGAGTGGTGAACGATGGTCACAAGGCAGAGGTTCATAATAACTGAACTCATCGTTCACTTTGAATTGACTGAACATTTGCACTTGGCAATGCTCACTTCAGAGTTGCTAATTTTTCACTCTAGATGAAATGAAGTTTCACTTTCACTTTGCACGTAATCTGATGCACCATTGCCAGACTCAAACATTAAAACCTTACAGTTGTGAAATTCTTTTGGGGGAAATAAGCAGATCATAAACTAAAAGAACGGGTTTAACAAAGCAAAAGCAGAAGCACCATAAATTATAAGGTGTTTAGTAGTACCTTCTTCAGCAGCAGCTCTTATAGCATTTATGTTGGCTGTTCCATTGATCTTATACATGTATGAGTTAGAGCCAAAGCCGCCTACACAAGATATCTGCAGAAGTGTCCTCACATTAGTGAAAATATTGATAATTGATTAATTTGCAACTCACACTATTCATGAAGTTAACTATTCATTTGAATAGGAATACATCCAGAGTTAGAGATTCTTTTTTCTTTCTCATGATGAAGGATGAAAGGAGGGGGAAGGGAGATTGAAAGAAGCCACCAGATGAACTGAAAACTACATATCACCCAAATAGCCACCCCTCCAAAAGGTTCATGAGAAGATAAATAAATAAAATAAAAGACCTAGTAGTTGGGGTGGGTGATGGCAAAGCATTTACATGCTAAATGTAAGTAGAAAGAACTGCTATTCCAATGTGTTAGTATGTTACTGATCAAATCCATTAGTTCATGATTAATCTGTCAACAAATACTTTGAGATAGCAGAAAAGGAAAAAGAAATACATACAACAGAAGCTACTCCTTTAAGTGCTTCCTTCCAGGAATCATTAGAGAGAAGGTTTCCTGTCACCGGGTAATAAACAAATTCTAAGGTCTTCACCATCATAAAAGGAAGCTAGAATTAATAAACCAAGCAATAGACAAACCTTGGTGCCAAGATACATTGTTTGCCCAAGGCTCTGATATGGATGACCTGCCTGTTCTACAAGAATCCATAAAAACCAATTTAGGAGCAACAAACAGTAAATTGATGATACCAAATCAGCCTAAAATAAAAAGTGAGGTAGGAGCGGAAATTAAGAATATTAAGAATCATATTAGACTATATAAACTTCTTGCCAGCAGAGAGAATGGTGTGATCCATAAATATCTGTTAGAGTTGTTTATTGTGAAAATATAAAAGTATTTGGGAATACTTGAATCCTGATAAATTTGATTACACATAGTCATCACCAACTAGGTGGTCAATTGGCAACAAAGTGGTACCACTCCTGGTGGGTGGTCTTGAAGAAATGTTGGGCTCTTAATCTCTTATATAAAAGAAATGGTGGGAAGCTACCAAGTGAAATGAAGTAAAAAGAAATTGACAAATGAGGAAACCAATAATTGCAACTTAACTAGAAACATGCTGATAGACAGCAACTCAGTTAAGAATTGGATAGTCAAAGTAATATTCACAAATTTAACCTACGTTATATAACTGCTAGTATTATACTATGATCAATGGTAAACTAGATATAAACATGTAGCTCTTAAGTCTCTTCCATCATTAAAATCCATTAAACTCAAGACCCCAAAAAGTTGAACTATAACTTTATCTTGAAGAAGAACAATTAGTTAAAAGAGATCCATCTCTTATATTTCAAGGAGGAACATGATTATTTCTCTGATTCTCACAACTAGAAAAAATTGAATTGAAGCATGACTTAGTTGAAGTCATCTTGCAGGAATAAGCTACTAGATCTAGAGCTTTATGGCTAAGTCTGTTCAAAGAGTTCTTCAAGTAAAATCCAAAAATGGTCACATTGAAAAACTAGACCCAGAACATTGAGCTTAATGTGGCTGCCAAGTACTTTCGGATTAACCATTAAGGCATGGCTTCATGAACTGATAACAACCTCTCTCAAAAAAAAAAAACCCTAAATGAGGTTGTGTGCATCTATCTTTGCCAGTCCCCATGGACCTACCATTATATATTAGATTAGATGTCTTTAAGGACTATGCAAGTATGGATAACCTAGGCATTCTTATCAGGATGGAGATAGTATTATGAAAAGTTCCTTGTGCTTAATATGAAATGTAAAAGAATAAATAACTTGTACAAAATGGGAGGAGCTCACATACCTGCTAATACTGGCAACTTCCAGGCCACGATTCAAAGCTTCTTTGCAAATATGTGAGCCAACAAATCCATTTCCACCTAGCACCAGTATCTGAATTCAACATGGAAGTGCCACCACATGTGATCCATGTGCCAGAAGATGACATAATGAAAGTGCATTATTTCATTAAATCTATTAAGAACCTTGTCTGTAGGAGGCAAATTTACTGTTTCGGCTTCCTCAACTTTAAAAGGTTCATCTGTTTTGTTAGACTCACTTGAAAAAAAGCGAGAATTTTTGGATGCAGAAATATACCTGCATATTTAGAAGCATCAATGGCTATAGTGTCTACCTTTATTTTATACAGGAGTAAAACATACTACTCCATAGTAAAAAAAAAGAGGGTAGGATCCCTTGACAGCAAGAAGGGGCCAGTAAATAAACTAGAGGAAAAGAAAAGCAGAAATGAAGTTGAAGCAAGTTCATTAACCTATTAATTGCATACCTCTGATGCATATATTCCAAAGCATAGAAAGCATAAAGCAAGTTCAAAGGCCACATTAGTTGGGAGATAGGAATAATCACCCCAATCCCAAAACTTGAGCATACTATACAATGGAGAGTATAGCCTAGAGTAAATAATTTCTCAGGTGCACTTTGGAATCAAGTCCAACCCCCCAAATAGGAAGGTAAAATCAATGGTTGCATTGTTGGAAAATTAATGCTTTTGTACTTTTGGATAAAATGAGGTAGTATGGATGAGTTGTATCAACTGGAAAGTGGGCAAAGGGATGATGGGCATATGATATTTTTTGTGAGTGTGTGTGTACGGCTGTAGGCACATATTATCTTTAGGGGTTTTAATTAGGTATTTGTGTTTTATTGGCTGCACAAACTTTTATGGGGTACATTGGAAATTTTTGCCATCCTATCAAGAAGTTCACATAAGTGATGACATCAGGTTTTTATTTGAAGTTTGGCAGCCTTGTTGACTTGATTGAAAGAAAAACACTAATTGCATGTTTTCTGTCACTACTCACCCTCTACAACTTGATATTTTCCTGTTTGAAAATTTCATTCATTCAAGCCTATTTGCTGCTTCAAGGACTGATTTTTTTACTGATCATAAATTTACTTGAAGAAAGGAGGTCCTACTGAAATTGGATGAAATGTTGTTTTTCAAGACACAACTTTCCACATAAATTAGTCCTTACAGAGTGGTACTTTACAGGAAAACAGAATCAACTGGGTAGAGAACTAGAACCAAATAAATAAAAAGAATTTGAGTAGGCTAACACTCAAGCAGAAAATGTGGTGGAATTGGATGGAAATGGAAAAATGAAGTTGATGTCAGAAAACTGAAGTTGTACAATTGTACACACATCAGACATTTTAACTTATAAAATTAAGATGAATTGGATATGGAGGAGAAATGCATGATTGCATCTGGGATATGAATATATGATCATTTTATTTGGTCATAAAACTTCTTAAAAGGTAATATGCAAACTTTACCAAACCCTTGTTTTGCTGACTATGCTTTAAGAGAGAGTGACAGCCTGTGATGAAAAAAGTCCATAAGCTTATAACAGAGATGAAAGTGCAAGGTAGATGTGGAGGGGCACAAGATACAACCATCTTAAAAATTAAATTCACTGGAATCAAGGCATAAGTATTAAGTAGTATCTGGAGTAGATGATTCTGTATTTCAGACATGTTCAACATAGATTTAGGATACATATAATTAGGGGATACAAACTTACTTTGATTGAAATTATTGAGAAAGATATACTATCTCTAAGTCTTACGAAGAATCTAGCTCTTAATGAAACTGAATGGAGAAAGAGAATCCAAGTAGATGACACCAAAAGGCTTAGTTGAGGTGTTGTTCAAGAAATTAAGGTATCAGGATTCAGAAATTAGAGACTTAATCACATGTATGTTCATTGAAAGTTGAAGCTGAGACATCTACAGTGGGATAAATATATCCACCAACTAAACAGCATTCTGTATATGACCTCTAAGCTTGCCCCTAGGAAGCTTTTCCCAGCAAAGCAAAGGTGCCAAAGCCTACAAGTGACAATAGTATACTTGGGGAAGGTGAAGTTCAAAACCACATGAGCAACATTGGCATTCTTCAGAACAAGTTCCAGTGGTGATACATTAATGCTTCCCATTCCCAACATGATACAGAAGTAATAAGGCAGACAATTCTATTCTATATATCCTCTATTCTTTTTTTACTAAAATACCACCATTGAACAATCAATTAATTAACAACATAAAATTAAGAAAACTAATTTCCTTTAGGCACAAGAAAAAGAACATTCCCAAGTGAACTCTTCAAGTTAGAATTTCCTTTCTCGTAAACTTCTAAAGAATTAGAAAAAACATGCTACAAACTCCCCCATTTCCTGCAAGCCAAAATCCACAGTTTCTCCAGCAGCAACAATAATACTACTAAGAAACATCTAAATTTCCAAGAACTCGGCAACTCGGCGAGTATTAATAACATTGAGAGTTTGCGATAATTTTTTAAAAAATCAAAAAATTCCAAAATCCTCTACTCTTCTTGCCCAAGACTTGTGGTCAAGCAGCACAAGTTTTGACTTTAGGTTAGTATATCAAAGGTTAGATTCCTCAACCCCCCCTTAGTTGTATTAAAAATTAATTAATTAATTAACATCAGAAAATCAGGAAAACTAATTTCTTATTTGAAGCACGAGAAAAGAACATTCCCAAGTGAACTCTTCAAGTTAGCATTTCCTTTATAGTAGAAAAATTCTATTAAAATTAAATTTAAAAAAAAATTGCTAAAAAATCTCACATTTCCTGCAATCCACAATTTCTCCAGCAGCAAGAATAATACTACTAAGAAACACGTAAATTTCCAAAAACTCGGAAAGTATTAATACATTGCGAGCTTGCGATAATTAAAAAAAAAAAAAAAAAAAAAAATCACAAAGAAACATTAGCATAACAAATGTTCAAAATGCCTCTCAATCGCCTATCTGCTTAGCATCCAGCCTATCAAATAAATAAACTACGGACAGAAAACAGCAGGGATATTAGTATAGAATCACCGACACAAAACTTACGAGAATCTGGAGAGGTAAAGTTTAGCGGCAGAAGAATGGATCAAGCGTGACGTCATCGTCGATCGTCTCCTTTGTAATTGTGCGTTTGCGTACAGAAGCCTCGCTTTTCCGCTGCTAATCCGCGAAAGATTCGATGCAGTTTAAGACACTCTGAGAAGAAAGTTCTTCGTTGAATGTGTATGGAGAATGAGGACGCGTGGCGTCAGGTACAGCTGACAAGTATGTGAAAGATGTGGCTCAATCCGTGCCTAGAACCGGCGCGCGGCCCAGCCCGACTCCATGTTATTGCCCGTGTGCGCCCAATTGGAATTGAATATTTATGTAATTGTTATACCATGGACAGTTAATTAAAAATTTATTTTTTTTTTGAAAGTTACACTTTTCTCAACCTACTGAAACACAAAGAACCAATAACGCCTCCACTGAAACTTGAACTCATAATCTTCCAAATGGAAATCTAACCCGGGTACCATTAGACCACATAGTCCTGGTTATTAAAAATTTATTTATTTGTAAATAAATTGAAGACACATAATTATGTTAATTGTAGGTACATATATATTCACTTTTAGAAGAGTCACGAGATTATTATAAAGTATATTCACCTCATTGGCAGTTGAACATATTTGTTCACAAAATCTCTCTCTACATTTTGAAAATCTAATGTATAGGATTTGAAGGATGTTATTTTCAGGGAGAGTATCATTTTACTTGAATCATGAATATTATGCCGTAAATTTTATGTTGAGGTTAATAGGTTATATAAGGTTGTACTTTTCTTCTTTTTTTTTTCCCTTTAGCTACGTTTTTTTTCTCACTGGATTTTCTTAGCTAATGTTTTTTTTTTAATGAGGCAACCAATGCAATATATAATTTGACATATATCATGTACTCTTTTTCCATCGACTAAATGTTTGCCACATAATTTTTCTAGTGAGATTTTGTACAAAGCATGAGTATAATAAAGATAATGGCCAAGGCAAGTCCGGTCCTATCATTTTATAGGTTCCGGTTAATATATATATATCATGCCTAAAATTTAAATTAAATAAAGAAAACTTATTAATATCAAAAACTTTGAATAAGATTAACAACTTTTTAACAATTTTACATACACAATAATAATCATGAAAAAATTTCTAGGTGCTTTCCTTAATACAAAATAATAAATAATTGTGTAAGTACCTTCTTAAATAAATAATTATTATAGTTTATAAAAATGAATAAATAATTTAAAATTGAGTAAACTTATAAACAATAACACTGTTATCATAATAAATAATAAATTAATTATTATTAAAATTTTATAAAACAATAATTACAAACATATGTGAAGCTACGAATCTTTTTGACTAGGAGCAAGAAATTAAAATATTTCAAAACGCAATAAAAAAATTCAAAAATATATGAAACATCCATAATTATTTAGATAAAATAGTTCGAATAGAAAGCATATTGTAAAGCACACATCTTCTATATTTATATGATTTTTATAAATACCTTTTCTTTTAACTAGATAAATTTTAAACTTGTTTAGAATAATTTGAATACAATGACACATAATAGAAGCTTATATATTACATTGATTAGATATTCATAAAACAGTACGGAGTAAATTATCTTTAATTTTTTTTTTCATACTTCAATCTCAAAATATATCATATAACCCCGACTACATTAAAAATACTACTGTATTAAACACAAAAAAAAAATCAATAAAAATAATATTTTTAAAGATACATTAGAATATATATAAGTAAAGAAGTAAAGTTGAGGAATTCTAAAATGTGAAGGGAAGGACTCAATCACCGACCTTTGATGAAATGAGGTTAAAATTTAAGTATCTTACCAACCAAGCTAATTCATGTTACAATAAAACATACGTATATAAATTACTTATACACAATATATATATATATATATATATATATATATAAAATAAAGTTCAAATGCGGCGGGGTCTTCTCGTGCGGCGGAATTCCAGAATACACCAACACTGTTAACAATATGCACCAACAGTGTTAGAAAAACACACCACAATGAAATGCAATAAAACATCACAAAATACACAACAGACTCAAAAAAATACACCATATAACTCACCACCCCCAATGGTGTATTTCTGAACAGTGTATGGTGTTTTTACTCACACCTAATGGTGTGTGTTTGGTGATGCATGGCTCTGTTTACTCTGTTTTTTGTGGTGTATTTTCCTAACGTTGATGGTGCATATTTGTTGAACTATTGGTGATGCCGCACCTGAACTCGCCTATATATATATATATATATATATATATATATATATATATATATATATATATATATATATATATATATAGGAAATAGGATGGAGCCCTCACCCAAGCATGGGCCCTGGGCAAGGGCCCAGCCTGCCCTTGTCCAGGACTGTCCCTGGACCAAGAGTGAGTGTTATGAATATTTTATTAATGTGTGACTATTATTTCAGTTATTATATTTCTGAATAAATAATAGGTCGAGTGTCCTTTGAAGTATCAAAGGGTTAAGGTTGTTGCCTATATATAGGCCCATATATTCATTTGTAATTGTAAGAATTGATGAGCTTAATAAGAGATTTTCCTCTCTCTATTCTCTCGCTCTAATCTCTCTCTAATTTCTCTTATTGTTGTCTGTGAATTTTTCTCTTTTCACACAAAAAAAAAAAAAAAAAAAAAAAAAAAAACAAAACAAAACAAAACAAAACAAAACAAACAAACAAACTTTTTATTTTCTTTTCCTCTGATCATTTAGGAAAGAGAGAGAAGACTTGTAAATTATAGTCATTTAAGAGCATCCTCATCAGTATGATTTTTTTTTTTTAAAATACATGTGGTGTATGTGTCCTGCTGGGTGCATTCGTCCCTCAAACGCGAATTAATACAATCTGCTTTGTTTCATTCTCCCATTGAGTGGACTCCATAAAAATTTTAATTTTGACAGAGTAAAATTAACCAAAAATGTTCCATCTCTTATTTGTGCAAAAACAATATAATTAATATTTTCTTCCTAAAAAAATTTAACAAAAATCCTATTGAAATTGCTCTAAAAAAGATAAACACGTCCACGGTCCACCATCTAACATCATCATAAACATCTCATCAAAAAGCTGCATCATCTACTCCTCCAACTTCCCATATGATGAATATTGTGACATTTCATAAGCATTCAAATGCCTAAACTACACTAATCACACAATCCTTATCCTAAACAGTCACGTACTCACGTTTGCTACCAAGGGGCCCTATATGTGTGCGTGTATTTATATTTTATATAATATCCCATCAACAGAATTATGTTGGAGATTTATAGAATAAATTAAAATAACTCAAGTTAACACGTTGTTCATTGTTACATGTATAGTGTTTTGTAATTAATGCTAATTTACATGTGTATAAGGTGTTTAGGTTGATAGGCAAGTTACAACATGGTTTTGTAACATCTAGCTAGTGAGGCAGTAATGGTAGTAGTTAGTAGTAAGCAAGTTAGTGGATAATATATTCGATTGGTTATTGTAGGTGATGATATGGTTGATGGGTAACCTCCTTATCCAAAAGGTATTTAAACTTTTGTGACTCATCAATGTCACATTATCAACTATATAGTTCAAACTCTCACTATGTCCACTAGAATCAAGTTATAAGTGATTTTTCTTATCCACTAAATTAACGCTATGTGAACAACACTGGATTACTCTTCATTGAATATAGCTAACACAATATTGTAAAAATGAACAAAACTTCTATAAGTATCATCATATCCCTTCATAGTCAATGGTATAACAAAATTACACTTTTTGAGTTTTTGTTTCATAGGTACCTGATGGTTTTAGGGTTTTTGGGCCCAAGGAGGTCCAACACAACCTTTTGGTCGGAGGATACACCTCTCAATAATATTTATGTCTAACTTAGAGATAATGAGAGTGCTCGGAAATTCTTTGTTATTCTCTCCTCTTCCGGGTGTCCGAAGTGTCTCCTCTTTTACAAGAATGGAGGAGCCTTTATATAGTGGCTCCTCCTCTGCCGACTTGATGGCCCTTAATGGCCGACTTCAAGGCTAATCAAGATATGGAGCCGTTGGACGTTGTTACTCGGTCGACCAACGGCTCTCCTAGGTTGGTAACAGCCCGACCGGGTCCTGTCTTCAATGCTTCAACGGCTCTCTTTTAAAGGAACGCCTTTAATGCCCTCAACGGCTCCTCGAGCCGGGTCCTTTCCTGGGCTTGGGCCTCGGCCGACTCCTGGACTCGACCTGACTGCTCTTTGGGCTTCTCCCGATGCTGGCCCACTTTTATTTTCTTTGGGCCCCTATCTCTTGGGCCGAGGTCCTTACCCCATCAACTAGTCCCTCACTTTTCCATACCCGGTCCTTCGACCTGGGTTTGGAAAAGTAGCAACCGCTCGTCTCCTTTAATTACCGTATCCGTGCCCTGAATAGCCCCTTGTAACGTCCGGATCATCAGCCATCCTCTCCGGATCTCGCGGAGCCGTTGAGATTCTTTCATCTAGGCTTGGCACCTATAAATGGCCTCCTTCCTTCTCTCTTTTCTTCACGAGTTCATTATGGGTCGCTCTCCCTTGAAAGGGAAGCGAATTGACTTCGGGTCTCCTCGGCGTCCGCTACCTTCTAAGCGGACTCGACCTGAGAGGGAAAGCAAGAAAAAAGCTTCTCGTCCGGCTCCCCGGAGATCTCCCGCTGGTGCCACCTCCTCAGCTTCGCAGCCGCCGACCCCACCTCAGCGAGAAGTCGTGCCGCCTTTGCTTCGTCCGCCGACTCCGGCAACCGCCAGGGTGACTTCTCAAGATGGATCCTTTGTGGAGGTGGCCGTCCCTGAACAATTGACTTTCAAAATGACTTTCTCCATCCCGCTGGATGACCTAGACGGGCCGGTCACGAGCCTTATGGATGACGAGGATTACGCCCGCTACCAGGAGGCGTATCCGGATGATGAGGAACCCATTCCGCCGCCGCTCATGCCAGCTTTCTGGGACTCGTTCTGCCCCTCTCCCCCTGGACCATCGGGGGGATTCTTTGGGGGCGACTCTTCCTCGCCTGGCGAGTGACCTTTATGTACTAGGGTCGGTCATAGCTCGAAAGAATCTTTTTAGGAGCATTTTCATATCCATAATTTGTAATAAGCTCCTTGCTGCTTGTACCCTCCTTTTCCATAATAATAATAAAAGCGCTATTTTCGTTTTGCCTTGTGTTTTGTCGTGTTTTGTTGCGTGCCCATTCGGA